GTTTTCTCACAAATATTTTGTATTTTTAATTGTAGAGATATGCACATCTTTTGTTAAATTTATTAATAATTATCTAATTCTTTGTGATACTATTGTAAATAAAAATGACTTCTGTATTAATAAACTTTTCCTTTTGGAGTAATTTTTACATTTATTTTACATAGTACAGAGAGTTCTCATAGCTCTTTCACTCATTTTCACCTAGTATTAATATTTGACGCAACCATGTTACATTTATCAAAACTAAGAAGTTAACATTGGTATGTTACTACTAAGTAAGTTCCAAACTCTATTCAAATTTCACATTTTACTACTAACATCCTTTTTTCAGTTTCAGAAACAAATCCAGGATACCATACTGCATTTAGTTATTATGTCCCCTTTATCTCCTCTGATTTATGATAGTTTTTAAATATTTCCTTGTTTTTCATAGCCTTGACAATTTTAAAGAATACTGATCATGTATTATGTACAATGAGCTGAACTTTAGTTTGTCACATGTTTTCTCACAATTACACGGGGCTTATGGGTTTTAAGGAAGAATATCACAGAGGTAAAATACCCTTCATTGTGTCGTATCAAGGCATTCACGATATTCACATGACTTATCACTGGTGATGTTAACCTTGATCATTTGGTTATGGTATGTCTACCAAGTTTCTCCACTGTAAAGTTGCTATTAGTCACCCTTGCATACTGTATTTATCCTTTGGATGCAAGTCACTAAGGTAGGACAATACTCAAGCAGTGGATCAATTAATTTCCACCTCCAGAAGGGGAGACTGTCTACACATGTTGTTTGGAATTCTTCTATAAGGAAGATTTGCTCCCTCTCCCTATCTTATTTATTTATTTAATTAATTATTTATATGTGTGTGGACTCATGTATATTATTTTATACTTTGGGTAATAATCCAATATCATTTATTTTGTTTCTCAAGTTGTAAGTGCTTTACTTCTTTACTTTCTGGTGCTACAAAATGCTCTGGACTCATCATACATTTCTCTTCCCCTAGTCTTAGAATCAGCCATTTATCCAAGGAGTCCTGATTCCTTTTATCAGAGAATACTATTTAGAAACCAACGTCTGGGTGCAGGGTATGTTCTCTGCTTGATTTCACTGCTTCTAGGCCTTCTTACAGACAGAACTTCGAAATATTTGTATGTATACAAACCATGCTGTGGTAGGCAGGTTAATGGCCCATGAAAGACGTCTATGCCCTATTCTCCAGAACTTGTGAACATACTATGTTACGTGGCAAAAGGGATTTTGCAGATATAATTAAGGTACAGAATTTAAGATAGGGAATTTATCCTGGATTATCCAGGTAGGTCCAACTTAATCACATGAGTTCTTAACTGCTGAGAATTTTCTCTAGCTGAAAGTAGAAGAGAGAGGCAGCCAAAGTGAAAATCAGAGAGATTCCAGGTGTAAGAAGGATTCAATGCACCATTGCTGGCTCTAAGAAATATGCACCCATATGCAAGGATCTCAGAGGGACTTTAAGGCATTGCTAGCAGCCAGCAAAGAAGCAGAGATCTCATTTCTATAACTACAAGGAACTGGATTCTGCCAGAATATAAATGAGCTTAGAAGAAGAATTCTACCCAGAATCTCCCAAGAAGAACCCAGCCACCAACACTTTGATCTCAGTCTTGTAAAACACAGAGCAGAGAAACCAGCCAAGCCAACCTGGATTTCTGACCTACAAAACTGTGAGAGAACAAAATTGTGATGTTTTAAGTAGCTAAATTTGGGATAATTTATTACAGCAATAATAAAAAACTAGCACATATGTATATACACATAGCTATAATTGCTACGTATTTGTGTGCATATATATTGAACTTAATATGAGCTCAAACTTTTATCTCTGACCCTAATTCAGTGCTATAGAGTTCATTCTAGTCTTACTTTTTGTTATTTGTAACTTCTTTCTCTGACAGTGAGAAATCAATCTACCATCATTTGTTTGTTTAACTCTAGTATACACGTAAAATAGTTTTGGAATTGTTAACCTATATGCCTGTGATAAATAAATTTACCAACCAGAGGATTACATTTATGTACAAGTCTTTTAGTCTTTAGCCTTACCAAGTGGAAACCTCTTTTCCAAAGTTAAATCACCTTTTTTTCTCTATCATCTTCAGTGAGAATTGTCATATATTGTAATACAGTTTGGTTCATTTGTCAGAGTCTGCATTCCATCCTGAGATTCTCCAACATCCTGGTTCATTTTTTTGTGTGTGTGTGAGGAAGATCAGCCCTGAGCTAACATCCATGCCAATCCTCCTCTTTTTGCTGAGGAAGACTGGCCCTGGGCTAACATCCGTGCCCATCTTCCTCCACTTTATGTGGGACGCCGCCACAGCATGGCCTGACAAGCCGTGCGCTGGTGTGCGCCCGGGATCTGAACCCGGGCTGCCAGCAATGGAGCATGCACACTTAACCGCTATGCCACAGGGCCAGCCCCTGGTTCAGTTTTTTAATTTGCATTTATTAACGTTCAGTCTCTATAATGTACAAATCTACAAATTTTGACAAGTGCATAAAATCTTGTATTCACCACTCCAGTGCCATGTAGAAAAGTTCTCTCATACTAAAAATCTCCCTTTGCATCTCCATAATAGTTGACCACCTCCATCCTCCCGTAACATCTGGCAACCGCTGATATATTTTCTATCCCTTAATTTCATCTTTTTTCAAATGTCATATGAATGGTATTATACAATATCTACGTATTTTGTTTCTGGCTTCTTTTAGTTAGCTAAATAAATTTAAGTTTCATTCATGATTTTGTGTAAGTAAATGGCTTATTTCCTTTTATATTGGAACATGCTGTGATATAGATGTATCCACAGTTGTATGGATGGCACCAGTTGAAGGTATCCAGTTTGGGGCAATTATGAATAAAGTTACTCTAAACATTTGTATAGAGAATTTTGAGGGAATGTAGGTTTTCTGTGTGCTTGGATAAATACCTAGGAGTAGGATTTATGGCTCATATTGTAAGTCTATGTTTATATTTATAAGAAACTGCCAAACTATTTTCCAAGGGGCTGTAGCATACCTCATTCTCAACAGCAATAAATGAGACTTTCTATTGCTATGCATCTTTGACAGCACTTGTTATTGTCAGATTTTTGGATTTTAGCCCTTATAAGACTGTACTGATATTGTAGTAAACATTTAGGAATGGAATTGCTGGGTCATATGGTAACTCCATGGTTAATATTTTGAGGAAATGTCAAACTGTTTCCTAAAGTGGCTGCACCATTGTACATTTCTACCATATGTGAGGGTTCCAATTTCTCAACATCCTTGTCAACACGTTATTGTCTGTGTTTTTATTATTATAGCTGTACTCGTGGGTGATGCCTCAAATATGTTTTTGTCAAAGTCTTGATGCTACGTGTTTAGTCATTTAACTTATAGAAACTGCCATATAAACTAATTGCAAAGCCAGTTTTCATTATAAACCAATCAGCCGTATATACTTTCTCCAAAAATAAAATCTCTCACTCATTTTCAATCCAAATAACATTTTCATCCTTATGAAACCATGCCTCTTTTCAGCTCAATTTCTAATCTATACAGGTAGTGAAACAAAGAGAGGGGAAAGAAAAAGTAAGGGACCTCATCACAACTTTGTAGCCTGAAAGAAATGTCACTATTACCTTCAGCGCTTTGCTGCTGCTCTCCTTGCTATGATCTTATGGGATTCTCCTGAAGAAGTGACCAAGCTTTCTCTCACAGTAGTCTGAGAATGGAAGAAGCAAGGTAATGAAAACAGTATCATTCCCACCCCACCCTAGACTATATCTAAAGCCAAAGGCTAACACCAAGCTATGCTTTTAATAGAAATATTTATCAAGACAAGGGAAAAACAGAAGCATACCATGTTGCCTTGAATAAACAAGGTTTCATAGAACCATTATTTCAAATTTTTCCTTTATTTGGCACTACAGAAGTTTTTACACCTCAATATAATTAAGATTTGACATGCATGAGAGGGTATTTTTTTGGTTTGTTTGGTTGTTTTTAAGAATAAGAGCAATTGTTAAAAGGAATATGGACAAACAAAACCAGCAGGAGGCTTAGATCTCAAGACCATTATTTATTTATTTATTTTTCGTAGCTCAATATTACAACAATTTTGTTTGTTCATGGTTCTGTGGATTAGTGATTTGGGCCGGACTCAGCCAGGCAGTTCTTCTGCTGGTTTTGCCTGGAGTTATGCTTGTGCCTACAGTCATCTTGCAGCTCAGCTGGGGCTGCTTGGTCTAAAATGTCCCCACTCACATATGTGGCAGTGGGCGCTGGCTATTGGCTGGGCCTCTCTCTCCACGAGATTTCTCATCCTCCATGAGGATAGCCCAAGCTTCTTCACATGCAAGTCTCAGGGTTTTTTGTAACTCGCTGCACAGGACTGGTAGGCATAGTAGTTAGTGATGCCCAGGATCTGCTTCTCCATGGATGTGACCTCCAGGTGCCCGCTGGTAAGTCCTCCACCGAGCGCCACCATTTCAGATCCTCTTTAATCGCCTCGTCCACCACCAGGTATGTAAGCTGCAGGAGCTGGGGACTGATGTCAGACAGTCTCCGGGGGCTGACGTCAGGGGGCCTCCTCATGCCAATGGCGATGCTTTTGCCCCTGGATGCCCCGCCGGGAAACACAAATCCTCATAGGCATGGCAATGTGGGGTCGGGAACTCTCAGACTTGAGGTGGAGGGGCCACGGGCCCGAGCTGCCTGCAGCCACTGACGGGTGGGGAGTAGGGGTGGGCAGCCCTGCGCCACCTCTCAGGACCGTTCTTATTCCAGGGTTTCTTCACTTCCTCAACTGTCACCCTAAGCGGGGTACCACTACTCCAGGTTCGCCTTCTGCCCTGACGGTTTGAATCTGCGCCAGGCAACATACTCCAAATCCAGACTGACAGGACCATTGACCAATCGCAGAGCCAGATTTCCCAGGCGGCCACGCGGGGACTTGGTGTTGAGAAGAAAGGGGCGGGCGAAGGGGAAGGGCGTTAGAAAACACCACCCATCCCGCCTCCCAGCAGCGGGAAAGTGGTTCTTCGGTATTGGGATCCAGGTGTCAGCCTGTGTCTTTGTATTGCCAAGATGTCTCTTTCTAAAAAGTTAACTTTGGACAAACTGGATGTTAAAGGGAAACGAGTCATCGTGAGAGTAGACTTCAATGTTCCCATGAAGAAGAACCAGATTACAAACAACCAGAGAATCAAGGCTTCCATCCCAAGCATCAAGTACTGCCTGGACAATGGAGCCAGGTCAGTAGTTCTTATGAGTCATTTAGGTCGACCGGAAGGTGTTCCTATGCCTGATAAGTACTCTTTAGAGCCTGTTGCTGCTGAGCTCAAATCCTTGCTGGGCAAGGATGTTCTGTTCCTGAAGGACTGTGTGGGCTCAGAAGTGGAGAAAGCTTGTGCCAACCCAGCTCCTGGTTCAGTTATCCTGCTGGAAAACCTGCGCTTTCATGTGGAGGAAGAAGGGAAGGGCCAAGATCCTTCTGGAAATAAACTTAAAGCTGAGCCAGATAAAATAGAAGCCTTCCGTGCATCACTCTCGAAGCTAGGGGATGTCTATGTCAACGATGCTTTTGGCACTGCTCACCGGGCCCACAGTTCCATGGTGGGAGTAAATCTGCCCCAGAAGGCATCTGGATTTCTGATGAAGAAGGAGCTGGATTACTTTGCCAAAGCCTTGGAAAACCCAGAGAGACCCTTTCTGGCTATACTTGGTGGAGCCAAAGTGGCAGACAAGATCCAACTCATCAAAAATATGCTGGACAAGGTCAATGAGATGATTATTGGTGGTGGAATGGCTTATACCTTCCTTAAGGTACTTAACAACATGGAGATTGGTGCTTCCCTGTTTGATGAAGAGGGAGCCATGATTGTCAAGGATATCATGGCCAAAGCCGATAAGAATGGTGTGCACATTACCTTTCCTGTTGACTTTGTAACTGCAGACAAGTTTGAGGAGAATGCTAAGGTTGGCCAAGCCACTGTAATATCAGGCATACCTGCTGGCTGGATGGGTTTGGACTGTGGTCCTGAGACTAACAAGAAGTATGCTCAAGTTGTGGCCCAAGCCAAACTAATTGTGTGGAATGGACCTGTAGGGGTATTTGAATGGGATGCCTTTGCTAAGGGAACCAAAGCCCTTATGGATGAAATTGTGAAAGCCACTTCCAGGGGTTGTATCACCATAATAGGAGGTGGAGACACTGCTACCTGCTGTGCCAAATGGAACACTGAAGATAAAGTCAGCCATGTGAGCACTGGAGGAGGTGCTAGTCTAGAGCTTCTGGAAGGTAGAATTCTTCCTGGAGTGGATGCCCTCAGCAGCCTGTAGTTGACAGTGTTCCTTCCTACTGTTTCCTGTCCACAGCCTTTAAGTCAACTTAATGCTTTTACATCTCAACTTGACTTTTGTTAAAATCTACCCCTGTATCAAGACCCAGGCAGTGACCAAGGGACGGGCCCTCAGGAACTCAACATCAGCACATCAAGGCAACTCATTTTAGTTCTGTCATGCATTTGCCTAACTTCCTTCAAGATCTCATTTGAACTTGACCGTTGTGATTCATAGGAAGTGAGTTGCCTATTAAAGTGAGTTGAATAAGCTGAATCTCTCTCTCTCTCTTTATTTTAGCCCAGCTTTGTTATTGTTTCACTACTTGAAACATGGAAATAAGACAAATCCCAAGTTGTTGAGAAAGGGTGGGATGAAGCTAACAAATTATTAAACAATAAAAATGCCCAAATAAACTGAGAAAAATAAGTACATGTATGAACTCATGGGGTACCATTAAAGCTCTGCTAAGAGGAAATTTCTTACTAAATATGAAAGAAGAGAAATAAAAGATACTTATTAAACCTAAGAAATTAAAAAAGGAAAGAATTAAACCCAAGGACAGAATTATGTCTGTGTGTGTGTGAATGCACAAGAGTGAATGCATTAGAATGGGAGCTACAAATTAAATCCAGATTTCAAATAAAGAAGTAATTGTTTTATTTTTATAGCAGATATTGTTTAATAAATAGATAATGTAACTGCTAATCTTATAACAGGATTTTTGAAATAAAAATATGTATATAAATAGTTTTGTCATGGGAAAATAGAAATATAAACACTTTTCCATATTAGAAAATAGAATAAGAAAATACTAAGAAATGTAGAAGAAATGAAAATAGTTATTGGAGAATATTTTGCCTAGTTTGGTAAACAAAGAGCTGGTCCAGGGCAATCCTGTTAACAAATTAAGAGTAAAAATGCGGAGTCATTTATGCCAGCTATAATGGCATGTGTCCCTAGCCCCAGATAAATTCTATATATTCAACATCCTGAATAATTGAGCCTAAAATATAATTTTAATATACCTAAAACTTCAGCATATTTCTAAGGACAATATTAATAATGCCATGGTAATCCCAAGGAAGATGCAGGAGTTAAGGTATAGCCTTAAAAACAAGTAAAAAAGAAAATCAAAATCACAGTAGTTGAAACAAGATTATAGCATATTACTGTCTTGCCCTAAAATTCTAGGGCAAATAGGTGAGCTCTTCTCCATGAAGTCATCTGGGGAACCAAACTTGTGAAACAAATCTGTCACTCTCAGTAAGTGGATTCCATCTCTGCATCTGAGGTATCTGCCCAACCTTTTACTACTTGATAGACAGCCTAAAGGGGAAGTTAGTGAAAGACAATGTATTTCTTTTAATTACATGAAGTTTAGGAACTTTTTTCACTTATTCTATTGGCTATTAGTTGTACAATAAGCCCTATTTTGCAAAGGAGGCTTGAGAAAGTATTCTCTCTAGCTGGATATCTTGTACTCAACTAAAAATCAATAGATTCTATTACTGAAAGGAAGTAAGGAGGAATAAATACTGCAGGAAAAGTAATTGTTTCTGACAGACTGTCACTCTGGCCACCCAAGTAGCCATGCACAAGTATCCATATATCCTTCTTCCTACATAGAGAAACATCTCTTCCTCAAGAGGTACAATCAAATGTCTTGTCCAGTTACTGCATCCCACTCAAAATTGGGTATCTCTGGGTGATGCACAATCTTTTCTTGTGATCCAGTGTGGAGCTCAACAGTCTGGCAAACTAAAAAGTACAGTCGTTTATTTTTCTCATACCTCCAACACCCCTGTCCATACATACCCAATATGCAATGGTGGAAAATAAGTAGGATAACTGCAACAAAAATCCTCACCTAAAAAAGCCATGGATTCATTGCAATTGTGAAACAAATCATGCTGGATCAGAATTTCAAGACCTCCCTGACCTATCAGTGGAGGATTGCCTTGGTTAGACTCTGCTTTTGTTCTCTGGGAGGAAGTTCCTAATTCATTGTCCTTTCTTTGGCCCCAAGTTTGGTCATCTCAGAAGTTTTTTTATTTCCTAAACTTCCACACCGTCTTCTGAAGCAGAGGTTGGAGAGCTGGGCCGCATCAGGCCACTGCACAGCTTTCCTAACTTCCTCCTTGCTGCTGCAGTTTTGAGAAACCAAGCATTTCTTTATGCATCACACAATTGAAGGTCTTTGAAGGCCAGACTAGTGATTTTCAACTTTCTAAAGAATCATGATTTCTGGCCTGTTTAATTCCATGTGAAAGAACCTCACCCAGAAATCTCTTCTACTTGTAGTTCTTCATCATCTGACTCTTGCTTTTAATTAATTGCCTTCTTTGCTGGGCCCACTTTCCTGCTCCTCATTTTAAGAGTGGTTAAGGGCCTGCCCAGTGGCTTAGTGGTTAAGTGTGCGTGCTCCACTACTGGCGGCCCGGGTTCGGATCCCGGGCACGCACTGACGCACCACTTCTCCAGCCATGCTGAGGCCGCGTCCCACATACAGTAACTAGAAGGATGTGCAACTATGACGTATAACTATCTACTGGGGCTTTGGGGAAAAAAAAAAAAAGGAGGAGGATTGGCAATAGATGTTAGCTCAGAGCCGGTCTTCCTCAGCAAAAAGAGGAGGATTAGCACGGATGTTAGCTCAGGGCTGATCTCCCTCACAAAAAAGAAAAAAAAAAATCTTAAGAGTGGTTAAAACTCTGCAGTTCTCTGAAAAAGTAGTCAGGGGTGGGAAGGCAACACCTGTAATCTGATCGTTGCCTATGATCTCCTCATATTTTTGTCTGAAAATTCCAAATGGGAGGCCTTTGAGAAAAACTGTGGGTGACGGTCTTTCTCCTGCTGTTTGTGGTATTGAGACAGTTAGCTTTTTCAACTCTGGGAAAACTCACTTTCCTGGCCTATTAGCCAATTTTGGTTGCAGACGACAAGCAGATTGTCCAATATTTCCTGGCTGTGCTCAGTTTTTGTTGTAATATTTTGCCTAAAACAGCATGTAACAACAAAAACATACTGATATTCTGCCTCTTTCGAAACACTTTCCCTGTATTTTTAAGCTCTGTAGGAATGTGTTCTGCCTCTTACAATACTGCAGACAACAGTTTTAGCAAATGCTACAGCAAAAAACTGATCACCACCTTCCAGCCCTCCACGTCTTTTTACTTCCTCCTACCTGACCCCTAAGTGGATGTCATATTTTATAGGTTTTATTAAGGGAATATCCCACTTATCAGCAGCAATTCCTACATTAGTTAGTCTATAGACTAGTGGTTCTCAACCAAGGACAATTTTTCCCTGTAGGGGACATTGGCCAAAGAATGGACACATTTTTATTTGTCACAACCAGGGCAGGGGAGACGTGCTGTAAACATCTAGTAGTTGTGGCCAAGGATGCTGCTAAACATCCTAAAATACATAAGCCAGCTCTCAAAACAAAGAACTATCCAGCCCAAAATGTCAACACAGAAATTTCTTTGTTGGGGCTGGCCCAGTGGCATAGCGGTTAAGTGCGTGCGCTCTGCTGCGGCGGCCCAGGGTTCAGATCCCGGGTGTGCACCCATGCACCGCTTGTCAAGCCATGCTGTGGCGGCGTCCTGTATAAAGTGGAGGAAGATGGGCATGGATGTTAGCCCAGGGCCAGTCTTCCTCTGCAAAAAGAGGGGAATTGGCAGATGTTAGCTCAGGGTCAATCTTCCTCACAAAAAAAAAAAAGAAGAAAAGAAATTTCTCTTTCTCATGTGACATTTGAGAATGGTAAGTAGATACTTTTCCTGAGCTCCTCCAAGGACCCAGGCTATCAAAATGGCTCTGCCATCATCTGTACATGGCTTCCATCTCTAGGAACAAGAAGATCAATTCAGTTGTTGACATTTTCCAGCAGACTGGATAGGGAAAGAGGAATCATATCTTTAAGGAAGAGAACTAGAAGTCACACATATCAACTTTGCTTACATCTCTTTGGCCTGAACTCAGTAATATGATCGTACCTAGCTCATAAGGAACAAGGGCAGTGTATTCTCTGGCTGAGTAATCATGGGCCTAGTTCAACCATTACTAAAAGGAAGAATAATAAAAGGTGAATATAAGACAATGTCAAAAAGAAGAACCTATTAAAAATTTTACAATGCACTGGAAGATCCATGAAGATCATGCTTTTGTACATGATTGGATAATCATAAAGAAGAACATTTAGAGAATAAGTACACTTCATGGGAAAAAAGTATGAAAGAAGTTAAAATGACTTAAGAAGACAATAATATGAGATTGAAAATAAGCTGGCAAAAGGTATAAAAAGGGATGACAAATTCAAGTATTACCAGTACAAAATATTAAATGGGGTTAGAACAAGTAAATACAAGACTTGAACCTGCAGAAAAAAGAATCAATGACCTGAATTAGAAGATTGGGGGAAAAAACAGAATTCAATGCATACTTAGAAAGTAAAAGATATTACTTTATATATATGAGTATATATACATATATACATATATGTATATGTTTATAAGTAATATTTTGTATAGTTGTAACTGAAATTTTATAGTTGCATATTATAATTGTATATGTTAAAAATATTTTGTTTTCTACTTGTTAAAACCAATTTAAAAAAAAACTTAAGATGTTACCACAAGGTGGTGGGATTGCCTTGGGCTTTTGGTTTAAACATTTGTTTGAGTTATTTAACTCACATACTTGGACACTACTATTCACTTATTTTCTGTACATTTTTTATAAAAATATCTGTATTGAAATAGCTTATTTCGAGCAACATTGGTTAACAAAGATGTGATGAAATAAATTTTTTTGAAGAGTGGGTGCTATATTTCATGGCCTTAGACTTCCATTGACTTTGCTTTTAAATAATTTCACATCTTAAGCAGTTATTAGAAGTCTCCTAGGGATTGCGGCAAAGTTTGTCTTTCCTAAATCCATGTGTGTTAATAATAAACCAACAAAGATGTGGATACCAGATTAAAAGTAAGTGTGAAATAATTGGAAGATGGCAAATTAGAAAAGCATGTGAGCTTATATATAAAAGAGGATGTTTTAATTGGCATCTGCTCACCTTGGACACCCTGGAGTTCCTCTCCCTGCATTGTGGCCTGGAAACTTTCTCCAGGCAGTAAACAGGGCACCTGTGGGCTCACCGTCTTTGTTTTCTCTCCCTCAGATGTTGTTTCATAGATTTTGTCTGGTTTTTCAGTTGTTTCAACTGAGAGGATCTATCTAGCCCCTGCTGTTCCATCTTAATCCGAAGTAAAGGC